AGGAAAAACAAATACCGATCGCGCTTAATAATGCCATCTCGCGATCAACAACGTATGTTTTTTGTGTAGCGATGACGAACATCCCGAATACCCGCCTCAGGTTCTGCATCGTCCAGATGTTCGCGCCTTATCTCGTTTCTCATAAAACAATAGGCGGAAGCGTAGATTGTTTTGGTCGCAGTTACGCGTACAATGTGCAGCAGAGGTTGTCAAAATCGATTGGTCATGTAAGTGGCGTAAATAAAAATTATCCGACTTGCGCTAAAACAGACAGTAATTTCCCTGGCAGAGGGAGACACGACAAATAGGTGCGTGAGCTGCTGCTCAGCATCAAATTTCGCGCAGTTAGGCGTATTGTTGTTTTTGCCATTGCTTTTTGCTAGACTTTCAAGCAAGTGTAAAAGCAAAGATTTTCCTCCTAGCAATCTGCGGCGCTCATTTGCGCGAATGTTGTATATATCGAACGCAATAACATTCACAATATCGAATTGCCGAAGGTAGGCAACAATGCGACCAGAGCTAATGCCTGCACTCAGACTCGCAATCACCGATTGTTCTTGTTCTTCCGTCAGAGCACGTACACGTGGATGCACCTTGATATCTACAGAGGGAGCATGGTTATGCCTCTAATGAGTGACTTTAATAAACCACTGGTCTGGTTGTTCTTGACGCCGCTGTTGTGTGATCGTGGCCGAGAAGGAGCATCCAGTGGCGCGGATGGAGCCCATGCGCTGACGAAGATGCGCTGTACCTGACTATGTACCAGATTAAGGTCATTGGCCGTTGCATGAGTATTGCAGATCTACTGCTTTAACCTCACCGTCCTTGCGGTTACCCACCTTTTGTTGCCTTTTAATAGCTGTAACATAGCCTTCCGGCAGTGTTAGCTCGTCAAGTACGTGGCAGGCTTCGTATACAGAATCAAACAGCTCTTTAGTGAGCTGGTTAAGGCCTTTAAATACATTTTAATGAGATTGTCACGGGTCCGATTGACTAGATGATATAAGATGATAAACGTTACTTTATTTAGAGTATAACAATACAATTATAGAATTCAAAGACCTTCAAATCCAACAACTGTTTAATGTATAGGGTGTAGGATCATTAGCGAAACCTGAATGATCATTAGCGGCTCCCTTTTTCGAAGCCTTCACAGAGGTTTATACAGCATGTACACTGATAGACCAATCTTTTAGACAAAGCTCGGTGTCATAATAGGGACCAAGTAAATAGAAATTCGTATGTCATTCCACTCAAATTTTATAAAAATATGCTGACACTGATTTTTCATGCACTTATCAACGTAGCTTCCCACAGCTAATGTTGACAACTCCAATAAACTCCAGCTGCTCTTTATCGGACAACTTAAAGAATTGCGTTTTTTACAAGAAATTCGAGAGCAGACAAGCTTCTTATACAGGCACAGCGTAAAAGTATGGAGGACCGGACAGTTCTCTCAGGAATGGCTTCTCAATGTTGACACAGCTATAAAGTTTTGTTTACAACCTTTTGCCAAGGGGTAAGAATGGCAAATTTGCACATATATGGGTGTAGGATTGGGTCAGGTAGGACCTCCTTCTGATCGATAATGCGCCAATTGACATTGTGGACACCCTACAGCTAACTAACGTCAAAATGATCTTTTTACGCCGAGCGCGACCTCTTAGATTGATCGAATCACTGAGGCATTGCTTTTGTATTCAAAAGGCATTATCGACGATGCCATCTTGAACAAATTTTGCATTGCGACAAGCGCGGCGAGATTGGCAAATGTACGAAGCTGAATTCTTTCTGATAGTACGGCGGTATCGGTCAACACGACCGAGATCAAGTACAACCACATCATACTCTTTGCGAGATTTGCCACATAATTATGACAAGCGAAGATGAGAAGAATATAGAGGCAAGAAGGAGGTTGAAGAGGGTTGGAGAGTTATGGAGCAGGACCTGGTAAATAAGCTCAAACAGTTAGCGCTTGTTACTCCGATGGCCTTTGAAGAGCATCTCAATTCTGCCGAAGAAACGAAAGTGCTCAATATAGTGCTCGATGATCAAGAGATTCTAGACGCAGTGTAATGGTAGGAGAATCGGAACGTAGGCGCTGCAGAAGAAGAGGGTCCAGTAAGTTACACATTCACAAGCCCAAGCTGATGGTCATCGTTATCGCAATGGGCAGGTAAGTGACGACTGTCTGTGTAGTGAGCAATACACGCGAGACAGGAACAAACGGAACACTTGCTTTCCACTGAGCGACTGTGGGATTGAGGAGGGAAACCTCATAGGTGACACCCCTCCTTCTGTTAGTTCTAAGACTACGTATCTATGTACTAACGGGTGTCTGCTGCAACTGTAACTGTACCAACTATAAGTGCGCGTCCCAGCATCAGACTGCTCCAAGAGAATCAGGGACACGACATCTTGTGCTTCGATACAATCTTAATCAGTGATTGTACCTTGCTCGATATGTCCCTACATACCCGCATACTATTGCTTGCAAGCTATTCTGCAGCCTTCGGGACTGCACTTGCAGTGCCAGCACCACACAATTTACCCTCGATGCTTGGCCTGAGATGAACTTCGTGTCTTCCTTTGATTCAAATGTTTCATTATAAAACTTATGTCTGGCTTCTCTTCTATTAATTATGAATATAAATTTACCAATGTAGAACGACCACGGTAGACGTCAAATCTCAACACCTACTGTAGCAGTGTTCAAAAGCATTCAAAGAAGAAGTTATAAGAGGGAGAACTGAAATTAATGTGTCAAAATTAATATTTGACCGGCAATATTCAACAATACATTCCGAAGCAAAAAGAGGTTATCAGAAATTTGCTTCGAGAGGTAAATTTTGGCATCACCTCATTCAACTGATCATCGTTCGCTGATATAGGCCATTGGAGCAATCCTGGTCAAGCAAATTGCAACTTTGTTGGGAGTTGATCAAACTGCAGAGTGCTTTGCTCATACTGAACATGGATGTGTTGCACCGATATATGATCGACGCCTCCGACTCTTCGTGGTAGACGGAACATCAATTCTAGCGCTTTTACCAGTCATTGGGTGATGAAGGGGCGGTAAACGCATAGGTTAGTGCCCTACCAACTACCGGCCTTTGCAAAATTAGATAAGTCTTGCAGCCCATAGCGTGACAAGGCTCGTCTTTACGAAGGACAGTTCCATGGCCTCTAAGCACGACTCTACTGTCGTCAAGAAAGAAGATAGGACGTCGAGAAGATAAATTGATCGAGCCTCAAGCGTAGATCTTGCTGCTTTGCCATGGCGATCACTAAGTCGAGTCTAGTTCCAAGGGAGAGCGATGGGTCTCGGCGGGACCACTTGCAAGACGCTTGACAAACGTATGTACTCGTGTTTGCTCATCAACTGGGATTACACACAATGAATTTCATGATGTGTCGTGTATCCTTGGCGTATGCGTGGTTGCCACACTTATCCTTTGTCTAGTCGAAGAGCTCTACACGAGCTCTGAAGTCGGCACGAGGTGGCTCAAATGTTTGTCACAGCCGCGGCTATTAGTTCTCCCATATGACCTTAACGCATATAAGCCGAAAGGCTAGAGCTCTAAGGCCCATTTCTTTCACGTACTTCCAAGTTCGGCATCACAAACGTCAGGTCCATCGCGTTATCTTTGATGCAACGACGTTCGATGGCGTAATCGTATCAGACGGTCCAGTCGAAAATTGATTCTCCGTGGACTGCCTTACCTTGAGATATCAAAATCATGCTTTTGGATCGGTGCACATGCGTCAGCCTGCAGCAACATCCTTAGCTCACATTTTTCTCATCAGTTTAATCGTTGGCCACCCTGTTCTCTTTACAGATGTGCCTGTTGCGAAACTTGTGGGTGACGCAAGTTACTCTTTCCTTCGTGCATAACACTTTACATGCTGTATCGTATTGGCGACCGTAGCGCGAAGCTATCTATCATTTGAGGCAAACAACTCGATGTCAACGAAACAAACGACGACCGAGCTCACTTTATGTCGGACCTGCTTTCCTTTGGAGCCATAGTTATGGCATAAGATATCACGCATGGCAAGAAAACTATCTTCAACCACTGTGTACATGAAGTATAGATCCGTGTTCATTAGGCTAACTACGAGGTATTTCCAGTGCTAGGAGGCATCCGATAATATGTTTTGCGACTCCACGAGCTAACCATACTGGTGATAGTAAGGCAGGCGCCTCGGGTCACGTACACGTCAAATATGGGAAATGAATATGTATATGGTGAAGGCTAGATGTACACTTATCAGTCCAAGTTTCACCTACAGCTAAGCGTGTTTTCTCACATGTCTATCAAACTTACGCGATTATATCCAACTATGCATATGTGGGATGGCTACCTGCTCGCCACCTAATGCGCACGTCCAGCACTCATTGGACGCTTTGTTGGTCGGTATGACCCTTTCATTCGATAAACAAGCAGAAATTACAGGAGATTGGAGACATTGTAACGTAAGTGGAAAGTTTTACCAGCTAAGATCGAATTTCCAGCTACTAATGTCAATGCCGAGCAACGGGCTCAACTCGTTACAGCTATGGTCACGCGGTATCCATGGTGCTAGTACGCGACACGTCATGAAATTTGTTCGTGCAGCGCGCCCCGACGTGGAGTTTGAGACAGCAATCTCCGGGCGGCCAAAACATGCCAATGCGTCTCGTGATAGCACTACTTTTGTGTCTGTAATCAACAACAAACGTGCAAGTGTACGTAAAAAGACCCTCGACTTTTGAAAGCAGAGCCCGCACCATTATTGTCTGAAATATTAGCAAGCAGACGCACTCTTTCAAGACCGAAATCCGCAAAAGTTACGTAGCTCACGTTAGATTAGGTGCGCACGGCAGCGCCTAAACAAACCCATGCGCCTGATTTGGATCCAAACCGTCTTTTGCCAGTCGATCAAAGAGCTATTGACCGACCGACCGACCAATCGATCGACCGTCCGACCAAAAGGCCGCTCGATCCAGACGTTGTCACATGATGCGACTCGTGCGTCTCTTGCCAATCGTGAGTGGCTTCGCTTGGACAGTCCTCTGCCCTACTGCTGCTGCTGCTACTGCTGAAGGCGTGCACAATCTCCAGCGTCTGCGGGACTTTCGCGGCCACGAATACTTTGTCCAGTTTGACGTCCACGAGTCCAACCGCAGCGACTCGGACGTGTCGGTCGAATTCCCCGTCGAGGAAAAGTTCTTTGCAGACGCCATTGTGGACCATTTTGCCCCCGTGTCCAAGCGCTTGACGTGGAAACAGCGGTACCAAGTGAACGAGGAGTTCTGGGGAGGTCAGGGCTTCCCCGTGTTCCTCTATATTGGAGGAGAGGGACCGTTGGGGCCCAAGGCAATCACCAATCGCACGTTTGTCTACTACATGGCAGAACAACACCGGGCGCTGCTGCTTGCCCTGGAGCATCGATTCTATGGCAAGTCGTACCCGACTGAGGACATGAGTCTACCTAATCTAGAGTACCTCTCTAGTGAACAGGCGCTGGCAGATTTGGCACATTTCCATTCATTCGTGAGCGATACATATGGACTCGTGAATGAAAAATGGGTGGCGTTCGGAGGGAGCTACCCAGGCAGTCTATCAGCGTGGGTCAAGTTGAAGTACCCCGTGCTATTTGCTGGATCCATTGCCAGTTCTGCGCCGTTGTATGCCAAAACCGACTTTTTCGAGTACATGGAAGTTGTCGGCGATGGGTTGCGGTACTTTGGCGGTGGTGAATGCTATCATAAAGTAGAGCAGGCGATCACACAGCTTGGACAGCTTATCGATGGCGATGACAAAGAGCGCAAAAAGGTGGACGAGCTATTTAAACCGTGCGACCCAATGACGAACGAGTTCGACGACTCGGTGTTTGAGACCTCGATCATGGGTGCGTTCCAGGATATTGCACAGTACAATGGCATCCACGACGGAGTCATGACGCTCGATGAGGTCTGCAAGCATTTTGCCGAGCCAGGAGATGCTGTCGAAAAGTTGGCTGCGTTCATTAACAAAGTACGTGTGGGCGATTGCCTCGACTCTAAGTTTGAAGGGGCAGCGAACGGGACTGTGGAGGTACTGAGTCGTGACCAATTTGACGGTAAGAGCAGTGCTCGGCAGTGGGTGTACCAGACATGCAATGAATTTGGCTTCTTCCAGACCGCAAAGAGTCTACGCTCTCCTTTTCACGCGCTCCGAGCCGTCACGGAAGCAAACGTCGGTACTGAAATTTGCAAGCGCGTGTACAATATGGACGTCGCACCGGATGTCGCAGGCACGAACCTCGACTACGGCTCGCTTGCGATTGAAGTACAGGGCGTCACTTTTCCGAGTGGCACCATCGACCCGTGGCATGCACTAGCCGTGCAGAACTCGACACACTTGCACCCGTCCTCGTCCGAGGCTGTATTCATTGAAGGCACTGCTCACTGTGCTGACATGTATTACCCGAGTGAAAAGGACTTACCTTCACTGCAGTGGGCGCACGCCAAACTTGCGGCCCGCGTGGAACATTATCTCCAACGTTCGGACGATGGCAATAGACGTCAAGAAGTGTCCGACATTGCAGCTATCGAGTAAGCCGTTCACAATCGTTCCGGTCGATACCTGTAGCCTCTACGAAGATGTACTACCGTAGTGGATACAGCAAAAGGTCAGTAGACAAGAACGAGTGTAGCCATATCCTTGTCTAGTCTCGCGATCTCAAGCGCGATCCATCCGATTTGTGTAGCCACTTTGTGCCTCCTGTTCGTTCCGTGTGCCACACATCTTCCACACTCTTTTGTACCGAATCCGTGACCGTAGCTCCCCCATTTGACTGGTCCCTAGACGTTTGTCAAGATCGATCATTCGTCGTCCATGGCGTCGTACGAGACCCCTCGCATCGACGTGAACGCCACTGGCTGGGGCCCCACAGTGCTGCCCGAGCAGTTCCTCAACGTGCCGTATGCGCCTTTCAACAAGGGCGACAAGTTGGGCAAAGCCGCGGACTTTGTCAGCAACTACGCGCCGCGTGGGGGGCGCTACGTGCGCGACCCGTCGGGTGTGAATGCCGAGTTCCAGTACAAGCACGACTCGAAGGAGGACGCGACGTTCCAACTGGTCGACACGTCCAAGGGCACGCGCCCGAAGAACGAGGACCGCCTGCGTCCGACGTGGAACCAGCAGCGCTTTGGCGGTCGCGGTGGACGTGGAGCCGGCGGACGCCATAGCTACGGCGACAAACCGGACGCGAACGCCGCGACAACGTCCTCGGCGCAGCTCCGTATGAAGGGTATGCAGAAACAGAACAAGCGATGGGATCGTCTGAGCAACGCACGTCGCCAATTCACATTCCGACGTCGCGACGAGGTGCAGGCCGATCGCGCTGCGTCTGTCGCGGTGCAGGCGAGCTGGAACCTCATTGACCAGTTTGAGCTCCAGCAGCTAACCAAACTGCAGGCGAATATTCCCAAGAGTCAGGACTTGAAGTGGTGTGGAGAACTGCGCGAGTACGATGCTGCGTTTGACCGGATTACTAGTCGCACGAACACGCGCGTGCATCGTTACGACGACCGTGACTTTTATTACGTCACAACGACCGATGATCCGGTCATTGAAGAGCTCGCACAGCAGGGAGAAGCTACCGTGTTTGCTACGGATGCTATCTTGGCGCATCTGATGGCGGCCACACGCTCTGTGTTTCCATGGGACATTGTGGCCCAGCGTGTGAACAACATGTTGTTCTTTGACAAGCGCGATAGTTCCACGTTTGATCTCCTTACGGTCAACGAAAATGCGTCAGATCCGCCTAGTGAGGACGACCCTGACCACATGAACCACCCCGATCGTCTTAGTCTGGAAGCGACTATGATTAACCAGAACATATCGCAGCAAGTACTCAAGAGCGGCAACGGGGCTTTCTTCAAGAAGTGTGACGAAGCCAATCCGTTTGCTAGTGACGACGCCAAGCCAGCCAGCTGCGCTTACCGTTACCGAAAGTTCGACATGGGTGGCGGTATGAATTTGGTGGCTCGTTGCGAAGTGCAGGCGGTGGCGCTCAAAAGAGGCCAGCAGCAGTACGTGAACACGTACGCGCTGAACGAGTACGACCCCAAGTTCCCGGGCGCGATCGAGTGGCGCAAAAAAATTGACTCTCAGGTGCGTGGTGTGCTGGTGTAGTTGCATCGGGCTATGTGTGAATGCGCTGTGCGTGTGGATGTTTGTGTGTTTGTTTGGACGTGGCGGTATGCCGGACTTGGTGATGTTGATATTCTATATACGCTATTCCTACACTCATGATGAGGAGAGAGGATGTCTGAAAGTCCGCTACTGCATGAGGAGTGCCAATGTATATCGCATGTGTGGGAGCTCTTGTGTTCGATGATGACTCTCGAAAGTCTCGGTCGTGCCAACCTCATGGTCGCTGAGAACGAGTGTATTAGAGCACCACAGAGCTGCTCCTGCTTGTTGGTTTGTGTTGCGGTGTACGGGTCTCGATGAATGCCCACAACTTTGTATATACGCTATTCCTACACTCTTGATGAGGAAGCTATACACGAGGAGAGACCCAAGCATTGCTTCCTTGCACGCTGTTTATCGCATCGCTTTTGTTTCGTAGCCTTTTACTGACTTGATCTTGCTGCTTCTTGCTTTATCGTTCCAGCGTGGCGCCATCTTGGCAAATGAGCTCAAGAACAACTCGTGCAAGCTGGCCAGATGGACTGCCCAGGCGCTTCTGGGCGGCCTGGACGAGATGAAGTTGGGTTACGTGTCTCGCTCGAACTTTAAGGATCCGTACTCGCACGTTGTGCTGGGCATGCAGTCGTATGTCCCGAGCACGTTTGCGACGCAAATAGCTCTCAACCAGAACAGCACGTGGGGCATTGTAAAGATGTTGTCAGAGCTGCTGCTGGAGCAGCCAGAAGGCAAGTACGTGATCATGAAGGACCCGAACAAGCCAATCATTCGGCTTTTCTCGGTGCCCCCTGACACGTTCGACGAAGAGGGCGAGGATGACGATGACGAAAATGACGAGTAAAAGCTCAGTCATTATCGCCTGCATATCATTCAATTGATTCGTGACGGGGACTTCGCGTTGTGCGCGTGTACCTTGTGACTGGAGCTCAAGCAAATCTCACGGCCTCTTAACAATGCACTAGTGATCCGCCACTGCATAATTGATCTTGACCTTTTGCACGGCCCGTCAGCTAAGTACACTGGAGAATTCACTCGTGGATATAGCAAAGTCGGCCATTCGTGATAACGTTGTAACTCGCTGTGTTAAGACAATCGAAACGAAAGTACAGTCGTTAGCATGACACTACTGACTCGAATACACCTCACGCTTTGCAACATCAACAACATACTGACTCGGCATTTGTACAGAAGCGCCAGTGTCAAATCAAAGCCGGTCTAGAGTCAGGTACTTCGATATAAAGCCCCAAGTGTATAGTCGAACGTGCTATGCTGTGGCTGGCGCATACTTCCAGCGAATATATATAGATATGTGGCCTGGACCTGACTTGCGCACGACGGCGTAGCGCGATCGCTTAGGCACGTACGTACACGTCGACAAAGACGCGAGTTTCGTGTGCTGCATAGCCGGGCAATCACACATTTGCCAGTGCCTTTGTTTACATGGGCAGTGCACGTCGGAATAATCCAAACGCTCTTTGCTTCGGTACAGTAAACCCCTTCGTGCACAAGGGCACGACGGGACTGACCATCCTGCCTTTTGGCTGTCTTCGCGCCAGCGACGCCAAGCTGCTCGGTAACGTGCAAAGGGACGTCGTGCACGGCGTTGCCACGAGTCAAAAGAAGGTGCTGCTGGCCACAATCGACCACAAGGTTCGGACTCCCAGCGACGATTGGGAGAACAGGTGCACGGATCGGTCTAGTCGAGAAGCGGTGCACGTCGTGGAAACGACAAAGCGTCGGGAAACGCCATTGCTCCTGTCGATAAACGTGCACAGGCAATGAACACCCAATGGAGTCCTCACCGTCCGCATCGGGACCCGCGGGTCGTGTGTTTTGCCTTCGTTCGGCATAGTCACCAATGTGCCTGTCGCGGCCGTTCCATCTGCTTCCTCGTGCGGCCGTCGTCCTGCCGCGAAAGAAATGCTCCGAAACCACGTTCGGCCACGCGCCAGCTGGCGGACGAAACGAGGCCGCAGCCCCTAGAGAAACGACGGAACACCAGAAGGAGTGTGGGAACCAAAACGGCGCCGATCCTCACGCGCACGTCCTTTGGGCCACACGCCTCAATTGGGACATGCCTGAAAAAAAAACGACGCAACTACCACCATCACCACAACTACAACAACAACTACTACTACCACAACTTCTACTACGACTACGACTACGACCACTACCGCAACGACTTCTACTTCTACTACGACGACTTCCACCTCCACCTTCTGTCCTTCACAACCCAAAACGCTCCCCTCAAAGTACACACCACCCGCTGTAGCAGCTGCAGCCGTAGCAGAAGTAGCAGTAGAAGTCGGTACAGCAGCAGCAACGACAACAACAACAACAACAACAACAGCAGCAACAACAACAGCAGCAACAACAATAGCAGTGCCCTTTTTCGAGTCAGTGATACGTGCGACTCGCAACGCCGTCGCGCGGCCACACAAAAAACGACACCACGTGACGCCGACGACCGTTTGCCGGTTGGACAACCGCACTTTGACTTGTGCCATTGCCCCGCGCGCCTTTTCAACAGCGCGTTATGGCGAGCGAAGTGCTGCAGGCGACAGCGTTCCGCATAAGTGCCGCTACGACGACCAGTAGCGCGAGCCGACCGAATAGTCCCGAGTACCATCGACTGGCCACGATGGGGCACGACCACAAACCACCAGAGCTGTGGTCAGGAGGTCCGCTGCCGCCGCGTCGATTTCAGGCGACGTCGATCAGCGGCCGCGTTGTCAGCAGTCAGAAGGGCGACAGCCTCACGGGCGACAGCGACAGCGACGGCGAACAGGCCGACGTGATGCACGACAGTTTCCTGCTCCGTGGCCCGAGCGCCGCCGAGCGCGTGCGGTGCCGATCAGTGGTCGAGAAAAACGACTGCGTCGTGTCGTCCGAAGACGCGTCGTCGTCGTCGTCGCTGCTCAGCGCGGCGCAGAAGGTCGGGTGCTTCAGTTACATCAAGCGGCGGTACAGCATTGCGCTGGCGTTTGCCTCGACGGACGTGGCCGACAGCAGCCACCAGAGCCATTACCAGGAGCCGACGGCCAACCTGTCGCTGCTGGAACACGGCGACGCCAGTGGATCCAACTGGGAAGCTGCCAAGACCAAGAACGGCGTGCAGCTGTTCAAGTCCAAGCGCTCGCGCTGCGAAGTGCGCGGCGTCACGCAAGTGAACGCGTCGGTGAAGAACGTCATGTCGATCTTAGCGGCTGGCGACACGACGGACGCGTTCCTCGAGGCGCAAAAGGTCATTCTCGGGACCGACCAAGTGCTGGAAGCCAAGATCTTGGCCTCGTGCGCCGAGCCCACGAGCTCGCGCTACTTCCACTGCGGGCTCAAGTACCAGGCGATCAAGAACCCGTTTGGCACGACGCCACTCGATCTCGTGTACCTCGACTACACGGACGTGAGCACGACGGCCGATGGCAAGTTGATTGGCTACCGCATCATCGAGTCCATCCGCGTGCCCGAGTTGCGGACGTCGCCCAAGTACGTGCGCGCGTCGATCCGCTGTGAAGTGTACACGGTGCAAGAGACCGCGACGCCCGGGGTCGTTGAAGTGACGTTTGCCTCGCATCTCGACCCCAAGAGCAAGTGCTCAGCTCGACGGTCGCAATGGCTCGAGCAAGCAGCGGCGCGGCTCGCAAACGTGCGCGCGCATGCCGAGAAGACGAGTATGGGGAATCACGTCTTGACGGATCGCCAGCGGGTCATCGTGAACCGCAAGCACCGGTCGTTCACGAGCGGCGACAAGGACAAGCAGCAACGGAACTGCAACGTGTGCCAACACGCCTTCTCGTTTCTGCGCAAACGCCACGACTGTCGCGTCTGTGGCGACGTGAGCTGTGGCCGCTGCTGCCGCAAGATGGCAGTGCTCGTGGACTTGGAGACCACGCGCGTCAAAGTATGCCTGAGCTGCATTTTGCACTCGCGGAACAATCCGGACGAGATCCGACGGGGCGAACTGGGCCAACAGGTCAGTCGCCGCGACATTAGCAACACGACGTTTATTATCTACGACGAATGAAGGGCGTAGGTGAATGCTGTATGTATGTAGCGTGGCGGGTGGATGTTATGGTTGCAATTGCGATTCCCTGTTACGTATCTGCTTACGTACGTACGTACGTTGTGTTGAGACTTGCGTGTGTGTACACACACTGTGCACGACATGGCTACATGTATCTATCTTTTTCTTCTCATGAACTAACCATAATAAAGGACTGTCGTGTGGTAAACTACAGTGGTCGGTATTTTAAACGCGCTCGAGTCACCAGGTGCGCAAGCAGATGGCAGTATGCGCAGCAGCTTTTGCACATGGAGAGAGCGACGCAGGAGGCGAAAACATATTGTACGACATGTGCGCGTGCGTGCTCGCAGTGCTCTTGGGCGTAGTGCTGCTGAAGCTCCTGCGCGACTATACGCAACGAAGGGGCTACATGGAGATCCAGCAGGACGACCGCGGCATGTACTCGAATGTGCTCATGGGGACGTCGGACTCGTGGGATCAGTTGTGCATTGAATGAAGAGACGATTCCACGACACGGAATGCCGCAGCTTAGTTAGGGGACGCTGTGGTTTTTGTTGTTCTTGTATTGACAAACCCCCAAGCGATGCAGGACTGTTCTTGCCGCACTTGTTGCGTTCGCACATTACGTTTCCAGCAACGCGAGCACTTCATCGGCTGATCACAACAAACGCGCAAGTCAGTGGAGATATCGAGTTATCATCGCACATACTTTCGGACAGTGTCGTGAAGTGGTTGAGGACGTACGCGTGCGGCACATGGCGTTGGCAACGTAGTTCCACTCAGACGTCGGGTTGCGGACAAAGTCGAAACACGGATCAGAAGTCGGTGGTGGTGCTACCGCTGCTGATGATGACAGAACTGGAGCTGGCGCACTGTACGATGTATCTGTGTGGCGACTGTGCGGGTGCTGCACTCGATCTGATGCGCCGAGTCTAACCTGCCGCTGCAGACCGCGACTGATTGGTGTGCGGAATTTCGACTCGGAAGACCTCGCAGGAAGTCCCGGTCGAGCTGTTGCCTTGTTGCTATCAAAAGCCTGACGACTCGTTTGGTTCGAGACGGTGGACGCTGTCGAGATAACGGGCGTCTCGTTGACAATCTCGACTAGAAACCTGTGGCAATGGCAAGCAGCGTCATCTCCATGTAGCAGCACCAATCGATTGTGTATGTGACACAAGGCAACAAAAGACGCACTTGGACGTCTCAATGTACTCCTCGTCCTTGCCATCCCAGTCCACCGAAGTCAACTTGGCGTCGTCAATGGCTTTTCCAGCCGCCCCGTCGTCGTCGGCATAGACGACGAGTTTGCGCGAGGCAGAGAGCCTCACAAACCCATCTTGCCATATCTTGCGCTTTTGCGTCTTGTGCTTCGTGTACATGCACTCAAACATCGCCTCGGACCGAGAGCCCAGCAGAGTGCTCAGCTTTGTCATGCGATCTTTTCCGCGATTGAAATATGAGTTACGTCGTTGGTCTATTCATCCCCTGAATATTCATAGGGGTTTCCATCCCGTCCTGAAGCCTATTTCATTCCAAGTGCCAAGTGCCAGAGAATTTTTAGCCCATTCCAGTCGTAATTTTTGTATCCCAGTTGTTCTGCTCACGTCATTTGGCCATCCTACATCGTTGCCCCACAACTTGGTATTTTGTTTTGCGTGCAAGGCACAACGCCACGACGGCGACATGTCGCCGTCATTGTATACTTGGGAAACATTGGGACCACATTTCTATAAAGCCTTTCGTGTGCTTACGTGTGCCTATCACCCGACTGTGTGTGAGTGATGAGCAATGAGCATATTACCTGCTACATTTGCTCTCAATGTGCTCAACATGGTTAGGCTGTGCAAAATATTCATGCACTGAGATTGAATATGGACAGTGCATGACGTGGTGGTACCAAATGACTTTTACTACGTAACGACACCACTTATCCGAATCCAGCGAATAGCCCGACAAACTTTGTTCGCTTCATGCCACGACGCCGTTCGCACGAATGATGGAGATGGACACTACGTCCTGACCAGATAGAGTGAGATGCTGAACATTACACTCAACAACACTTGAGGCGAAAGGACATGTGACTGCATCCATGTCAGATTGTGCAACCAGGTAAGTAATCCAGCTACCGCGTAACGTTCGATCGTGTAAAGGCGACAAGCGGTGCTGCTTTTGAGGTCAGAGAGTAGGAAAGCCGGTCGCTCACCTACTTGGACAATAAGTGATAGTGTCCATGCGATAAGACCCGACGAGGGCTGAACCTTACCTTGGCTTGTTGAAAACCGACACTTGAGGCAGGCAGCGAAGTGCAATCACAAGTGCTCGTGGAAACTCCATTGAGTTCACACGGCTTTGTTCAGACCTACAAAAAGACCCGTAAGAGTGAGTGGTTGGCTGTCCGCTTGACAACGTATGATGGAGCAGATCCTTTGTCGTCCACGATACACAACGACCGCACGCTCGATCGGTTCCGGAGACGCTCTTTGAGCTATAGATTCGGTTCTCGCAAGCTGTAACCGCTCTGTGGACCATCCGATCGAATGTGGACTTACATGTGAGATCTGTCCATTCATCCGTTCACGTGGTATAGCAATCATTTATTCACACGTCGGTAACGCTAGTAACGCTGTTGTCAGCTAGATTCCAGGACGACGGAGCAGTCACAACGAAGCCGAACGACTCATGTTGTCAATGAATGCGATCGATTGTAGCGGACCGCAATTGTTGATGTTGACACATGAAGCCGTTCTTAGACCATCAATTTACCAAGTTGACTCCTAGTGTAGAAACACCCATCTGGACGGCATCGTTCCCGCCGCAGGAAGATCTGCTCGACGTCTAGCCAGCACTTCAGAGTTGGATCATTACTATCGTCAAGATGGGTGGGTGGAGCGGAATACAGCAAGGATGAGACAGAACCACACTATCGACCGCGAACGACCTGTCTGGGTGGGTGAGCTGGCGTCAGTGTAGCAGTTCGCAAAACTGGTTCCTGGCAGGATCTTCGAACATGGCGAGGCAGCCATTACCGACGTCTACGGTCTACTGACCCCACATCAGGGGCCGACCCTATCCAATATATGCATCCCGACTATCACCAACACCACTCACTCACTGTCTCCATCATCCTCACGGCACAAAAACCACCACCTCAAAACATGTATTGTTGTCCTTCCCCCACTGAAGACTTTGTCTCTCTTTCTCTCTGCAATGAGCTACAAGAGCTTTACTTGGTCACAGGCACCTTCTTGAGCGACTCGACGTAGACGGGACCCGCGCGCGAGCGCACCACGTACCGGTCTCGGTACATGACCTCGCACTTGTTGGTCGTCTTCATGTCCTTGCACAGCGTCTCCCACACTTTGTTCTTCTTCATTTGGATCGCCGTCACTGGCTCCTGGAGCTCCTCGCCACTCGCGTACACGCGCTCGCCCACTTCCGCCTCGGGACTCGGACACAGCAGCTCCACCTTCCCCTTGTCGTCGGTCACTTGCAAGATCCGGCCCGTCGAGCGCAGGCGCACGACTTTGACCATCTTGACATTGCACAGCACGACGACCTTGCGGTCGAGCAGCTCCTCTTCGGCAAAGTGCGGCTGATGCTCCGCGACCATCTCGAGCCGCTCGCCTTTGCCAATGTCGACCTGCTCGACATAGTGGCGCTCGGAGTTCGGGTGCGCCTTCACGTCGACGATCTTACCGACCCGCAGGTCGAGCTGCGAGAAGACGATTGGCGAGCTATACACGTCCGACTTGACCATGAAGAAAGAAGAGGAACGGGTGATGAGCAATAGGTCCGCGAAAGGAACTGCACGTTCGAAGACGACGACTTGGGAAATGGCTCGTGGAATTCCAAAGGAGCGGCGAGAGAAAAACGCACCAACTTCAACAAGTACGTGTGGATTTGGGTCGTGTTTGTTTACGCAGCAGCTCGGGACTTCAAGCACGTTTATGTGGGTGGGTGGGAAGAAGCTTTCGTCCAGCTCAGTCAGTGTACGTGGGTGTGTCTGAGTTCACGGAAAGGGCGTCTTTCGCGCGACGCGATTGGGTCGTGCGACTTAAACTGCCAGGGCCTGTTCTCTTCTTTCTGCGAGACAATGAGGCGTTGCATGTATGTGAATGAATATGTATTGTACATACGCCTGATCGGTCGGAGCTTATTACTGTGTGCGTACAAGAGATGATGATCGAACTGCATCTGTGCTCATTGTTGAGCACTATGGTACCAATGATGGGTTTGGTTTTTATATTACATGGGGCACGTTGACGTTGAAGTGCGAATGGGGACACTGTCAGGATGATGCGATCCTCAAATCAGCAGCTGTACAGCATGACGATCGAGAAGGGTTCGTGCGATGGAATAATGGAAAGATACGGCTGGAAGTCAATACTGATACGAACGTGCTACGAGGTCTACAGAGCGATCAACAGCGACGGTGAAAGCAGTCGCTAATAGTCGTAGATGCCGTGTCACTTGCTGCTACATGTCCGTAAATGCATAAGGTGTAGATTTGGTTTAGTTGCTACGTGAGTGACATCCCATTTCCAGTAGCAGCCACAGAAGCGTCAACTGGGCTTGTGTAGATCCGTTTGATTCCATTCGTTACTATCCACCACAACATATAGTAGCCGCAGAGTCCTTCGCCACTACCTGCACGGCTCATCCCAACTGTATTCCATCGCACCTACGAGTCGCCTGCAAACGTGCCATCGTCCCCGCCATCGCCACCAAAGTCATCGCCATAGCCTCCACCTGCACCATAGTCACCGCCGCCCGTGTCCCCGCTGAACGTGTACGTGTTGTCGGACACGCCGCCTACATCGCCAGCATAGCCAGTGGTATCGCGGTGCCCGCCAAACGCAGAGCCCAGCGCTGCACCGACGCCCAGTCCGCCCAGCGCTCCAAGTGCACCCGCTGCCATAGTGTGGCCGCTGCCGCCACTCTCCCGATACGGAACCGCTTCGTATGCCACAGGGGCCGAGGCGTACGCATACGGAGCAGCTTGTGGCTGCTGCTGGTCCGCGTACGTCCCGTACTGACTCGACGATGCAACGGGTTGGGCGTAAGCATACTGCTCCTCTCGTTCTTGCTGCGCCCGCCGCGCTGGCAGGTAGCAGCAGCACACACAGCAGAGCAGGACCATCACAATGAACAGAACTGTGCCAAACACGCCACCGCCCGACGACGACGAGGGCCTCGAGGGCCTCAATTGGTGGTCGTCGTACCCGCCGTAATGATAGGGCACAGCCCGGCGACAGCGACACTCGTACGGACTCGCAGCGCACTGCGCGTCGCGTGGACAGCAACAGGGCGCGCCGGACGCCAGTCCAATGCAGAACTGGCCCGGCTGGCCGTGGTACGCGTGGCTGCATTGGCCCGTTTGCTGGCAGAGCCCGCAGCCCGAGAAGGCCGCCGAGAGCGTCTCATTGTGGACAGCGGGCAGCACAATCGCTTTCTTCCGACTCGACGCGGTCGCGGGCGGAAGAAGAGGCTGCACGGCATCGGCACTGTGTGTCTCGGTCGTGGACACGGGTACGGGCGCTCGCGTGTCGCAGAGGACGCGCGGCGGCGAGAGGAGCAGCACGAGCACGAGGAGCCACGACATGAGGCGGGAGCGAGATCGCGAATTCAGGCGACGGTGGATGGTAATGCGTGGTGTGTTTCAGTTTAGTGACATGCTGTTTCATGGGTATCTTGTCGGTCGGTCGGTCGGTCGGTCGGTCGGTCGGATGGTCACGTGACGGCCCGCGAAGTGGCCACACCAATCCACATCTATTTACTCTTTTTATTGTCGTTTATGCGCTTGGGTCCAGTCAATTATTAAAATAAAAACAATACGACAAAAAGATGAGCCGCCTCTTTGTCGGCCTCGAGACACCGTTTGTGCAGGACCTGCCGGCGACGCTCAACAAGGTCCGACTTGCACTGATCTCTCGTCTCTTTGTGCAGTGTGTTCTGGTGACTCACGACCTTCTCTTGCAGGTGCATGAGGAGAAGATGAATGGCGTTGCAGCGCCGCTCTTCCACCCGCGGTATTGAAAAGAGCACTAAGGCTGTGTCGATTGACAATATGACTTATACTGTTTGTTACTGTTGGATGCGCAGCTTCCAACGGGACGATGATGGGCTCTCGGATACCCGCGACGGTCCACAAACGCGCTCGGATCTCGTGTTGGATTCGCGCGGCTGGACGGCCTCTGTCGTCGGCGTTGTCTCCAAGTGGATGGACTTGGACGCGACGACACAGCGCGTGCGGCTGAGTGCCGAGAAGGTGTTTAAACAGGAAGTAGCGTGGGCTTCGCATCTATCCGTGCCAGCTGTGCTGCTGCCGACCCCGCGGCATGCCGAACAGTCGTCCAACTACGCGCGCGTACTGAACCAGTCGCTCACCCAGGCGCAATATCTCCAGTTTTGGGTGCGTATTCTGTTAACTCCAAGGCAGCAGTCGTGTGCGAAGGCGCCGATGGAAACTGATCCTGTGGCGGGGCTTTGTGCTGCTGCTGCGGTGATGGAAACGGAAGAAAATAAGCACGAGGCGTTGGTCGATCCGTGGGAAACATGGGACTCGTTACGTGCTCGCTGCGAGTATCACCCGAAGCTGTTCGTGGCGCTGGAAATTACAGCTGACCTGCCAAGTGCCGAGGTGGTCCAGCGCTGGCTTGGTGAACCCGTCAAGGTGCGTGATCACGCTGAACAAGCGTTTTTTTGCGATATGGTATAGTGTGTTGGCTCGGCTAAAAGTTGATCGTTGTGGATAAAGGCAGCGATTGTTTCTACCGACATCTTCCTGACAAATCGAAAGGGATACCCGGCGCTGTCTCAGCGACATCAGAAGCTCATGGCGCAGCTTTTCCAGCACAAAGTTCAGTTTTACTTGAGTGGGCGACCTCGTCATCGTGAGAAAATGCTGCCGTACGTGCAGTATCTACATTTCCTTTATAGCAAACTGCCGAGCCAGGATCGCAAGACGCAGTTTGAAGCGCCCTACCTAGACTACCTCCAGGCCCCGCTACAGCCTCTCATGGACAATCTCGAATCGCAGACGTACGAGACTTTTGAGCAGGACACTTTCAAGTACAACCAGTATGAGAAGGCTATCACAAAGGCACTAGAGCATACCCCCGACGACAAAGAGTCAGTTGTAGTGGTTGTTGGCGCAGGTCGCGGACCGCTCGTACGCTGCGCTCTTCGTGCCGCCACTCTTGCGAATCGAAAGACACGGATGTTTGCTGTGGAGAAAAATGCGAACGCAGTCATTACTTTGCGCAACCTCAAGATTTCGGAGAAATGGGACAACGTTACGATCGTGGCATCGGACATGCGTAGCTGGCGCACAAAAGAGCGCGCAGATATTATGGTCAGTGAGCTTCTTGGATCCTTCGGTGACAACGAGTTGTCCCCTGAGTGTCTAGACGGTGCTCAGAGCCTGTTGCACGGTGCGTATTTTGTCGTTCTTTGTGATAAAAGCAGCAGTAATCACTCTTCTGTTCTACTGGTATATGTTGTAGAGAATGGCATCAGTATTCCGTGTGAATACACGTCATACGTGGCGCCTGTGATGTCGTCAAAACTTTGGAATGAGGTGAAGGTTCACGACTCGGTTAAGAGCTTCGAGACGCCTTACGTTGTGCGACTGCACAACTTTTATGCGCTGGCGCCTACCCAGAGGTGTTTCCAGTTCACTCATCCGAAGTTCAATACTCGAATTGACAACAGGAGACAAGCAGAACTTCGCTTTGTCGCTGCTGAGAGCGCTGTTGTCCATGGCCTGGCAGGCTACTTCGACGCTGTGCTTTACGGCGACGTGACGCTGAGTATCGAGCCGGATACGCATTCCGATGGCATGTTCAGTTGGTTTCCAATTTACTTTCCCCTACGCCAGCCACTGCGTTTTCAGAAGGGTGAAGAGGTCGTGGTAGACTTTTGGAGGCTGGAGGGTAACAGCCGTGTCTGGTACGAGTGGTCAGTGGCCCCGGGTAGCGGTACGTGCCACGCCCCTATTCACAATCCAAATGGTCGATCCTATTGGATCGGGCTGTAGGAATGGGCACCTCAGGACAATGCAACTCATACATTCACCCGTGCCATGTTCAGTCTGTCGAAACTAGCTGTTGTGGTTTGTTTGCGAGGATAACACAAAAATGAATGGTGTGGCTAAAAGTGTGCTTGCCATTTAGCACAAGCTGTGATCAGTGGGTCCGCTCGACAAATCTGGACGGCTTTTTTCGAATCTTCTCTTTGAGTATACTGTCTGAGTCTTCCGAGTCTTCGATTGCGCAGGTAATTGCGTCTAGCGTCGCGTTTATGTCAAGGTTATAAACGGTCGATCTGTTGAGTGTCGCGTTCATTACAGGGTCACCAAGAAGGCAACTTTTCTGCGTAATAGAGACATGACGTCATTTTGTATCGTTTGAGCTGCATAAAGTAGGCCTGACACCACGAGTGGCAGTCAAACATCTTCTACGTATCGACAACAAAGTTGTCGCAGAAGACCTTAACTGGCAGACCTAACCACAGACATCAGCCTGTCGACTGCAGCAAAAGCACCCGTTGTGGTCTAGGGAAATCCACATGTTTTAATTTCGCATATCTGGCCATTTTCGACGGGTCGCGCTCGACGAGACGAAATAGAAACGACGAGTCGATCTCAATACTTCGGAATAAAGTCAACGAGTCAAACAGAACGCGACGAGTCGAACAGAAATCGGCAAGTCGAACAGAAATTGGCAAATCGATTAGAAATCAGCGACTCGAACAGAAATCGGCGAACTGAACTCGACGAGACGAACTCGACAAGTCGAACTCGGAGCGACACGTCGTCAATCATCCCATACTCGCTTGCGCTAGGAGGTTGAATTAGGTAACGAGAGAGAGAGAGAGAAAGAGAGAGGAGCTACCCATGTGTTTCTACTAAAAGAGAGTAAAAGAGAATCAATACAAAGAAGAATTATAAGTTCATGACGCGCTACTTTCATTCAGCAAGTCCCTGCGTGGGCTAGATATACCAGCTGTAATGGGGCACCGACGATTACATACTGGTTTGCCAGTACGAGTTAAATTTCACTGACAACAGTGAAGGTCAGTGCCCTGCTATGTATAACACTAATACAGAGTAAGGTAAGCGACTAAGATAAAGTGTAACGGGGCAGCCCGTTACATGGAAGTGTCACTTTAAAAGAAAGTGACAACAAAGAATATTAAGTGAATTTTCTTTAAACAATATCACCGATGATGGTGATATTGGTGAAGTGACCAAAGAGTCTGCTCATTGGTGAAGCGACCAAAGAGTCTGCTCATTGGTTGATATCGTGATGATATCAACCCACTAATCGCCGCAGGACGCGCGTAATGAGTGGTGACGAGACGTCACCATACACTCAGTTATATTAACATAATTAAGTCAGGTTAAACAGAGAGACAGTAGCAAAAGCACTTAATTATATTAATACAACAGTTTTACTTTTTCCTTATCCTACGCTTCCTCGTTCGCCTCGTGTACGTCTGTCGGGGCACCCGAAACCCTTGCGTTAAGTTCACGCAAGGGTGTGCCCCGTTACATAAAGACTCTCGTCGTGGTGAAAGTAAAAATTGTCTAATATAAATTAAGTCCCATAACTCTTGTTCTTTGTTTGTCCTGACTTAATTATATTAATGTAACTAAATGCATGATGACGTCTACTCCCCACCCATTGCACGCGTCTAGCAGCGATTGGTGGGTTGATGTAGTCACAATATCAATCAACGAGTAGACCCTTCGGTCATTCTAACAACATCACTGTAATTTGTGATACTGTTATACGAATATTTAATGTACTATTCTTTGCTACCATCTTTGTCACAATGGTAACTTTGTGTAACGGGCTACCCCGTTACACTTGCCATCAAACCTCGAAAGGCAAAGCTTGTATAGGTTGTGACTGGTAGCTCTCACAGAGTGAGTCGGTTCTGGGTGGGCAATCGCAATCGGCAAACTTCGAGTCTTTTCCATCGACAAGTCGGTGACCAAATAGACGGCACCTGTTTAAGACTTGTCGAGTGTCGAGCCGGTGACTAAATAGTCGGCACCTTTTAAGACCTGCCCAGGGACAATCCGGTGGGTCTTAGCCTAGGGCACTGTATTTGTTAGTCTGGCGTATACTGCGCTCGGTGAGCTGTAAAAGCGGGGGAGAATTGGCTTTCAACCTATATGTGGAATCACTTAGACAGATAAATTTAGAAGCTGCTATGCTAAGGCTGACCTCGGAGGAAATTTGTTGCGATAAATGGTCAGGCGAAGGCAACAACTAGACCTGAAGGAATGATCGCCAAGGATAACGTTTATCACAAAGCAACAGCCCATATCATCGACTTGACTTGGCGATATTGTTTTGCTGGGACGTTAGAAATGTATTTTGTTACAATTCTTAACCATCAACGTTACCACGTCAGCTATGTGATGCTTTGCTACGCAACCCAATATTATCAAAGAAAAAAAACTGTACACGAGATCCTATTTATGCAAGCCGAATCAATACAGCCGTCTTGTCGAATAATGATAATCGAAATGAAACTTTTTGTCAAAAGAACGGGGGGGGGGTCTCATCACAGACTATTGGTATAAGCAAATGCCTTGCGTATATTGTCTTCGCAAATAGTTTTCTTGAATCATAATGTAGCATGTGACATTAAGTATGTTCTGCTCTTTTCTTATACAGGCCATTCTATCAATCAACAAGCATGCGATGTGCAATGAAAGCACGCATATTATTGTTAGCAGACGGTTACATTTCATGCTTGTGTTTAGATAGATCGAAATAGCGGTGTAGGCAGATATGTTTTTGTATGATAAACTATATTAAACTCGGTTCATCACATTAGACTAGCGTCATCATTATTATATAAACGTCCTCTTTACCTCATATACGCGAGGTTCGGACCACCTGATCTCGACCATCATCAGTATAGTTAGCTAAAAATGTCATAAAGATAGGGATGAAGTGCCGTGTATACCTAATAGCACTTAGTAGTCAGCCTATCCATCATTGAATCATCTACTATATAAGGGATTGGTGAAGACAGCATTAACACCCTTAAAGAGCTTTGTACAGCATAATTTTATGTGAATACATTCTACCGTCGTTTTCATGGATGCAGGCGCCATTTTTTCGCTCTAAAGAGAAACGAGAAACGTGTCGCGATCGCCAAATTCTTTCAACTTGAACTTAATGCAACTTTACAGAACCTTGTTATACCAGCAAACTTTAACAGCAAATTTTGCTCTTGCTGAAGCGAAATCAGAGTGATAGACGATTCATCCTATCCAGACAATATTAATATAAAACTCTTCTTGGTGGGTCGACAAACATTCGTCAATATGAGAGCTTCAATATTAATCTGTTTATTTTCAAGGCAATCGAAGAAGAAATTCTTTTTATAATATTCTCGTCGAGCCCGACGACGCATTCCATCTCGTCGAATATAAGGAGCTGCAATGCATTAATTACGGATGTGATGTAGATTTGTTCATACTCCCTATTCTAGTGGTGGTCAAAGAAAAGGGGGTCGGCAAACTGAAGATCGGCGAACTGGAGATTGGAGAACGGAGGTAGGCGAACTGGATGTCGGCTCAGTCACATTTTATCGTTCAAAGTGCTTGAAGATCGAACGTCAGATTCGCCACGTTATTTGTAGAAAGAACTTAGAAAAGGACATAGATATACTCAAACTCGCTCTTCGATATAGCATAAAAGATAAATTAACACAGTGCAGAAATTTTTTATAGCCAAGACACGAGTACACGTAGCGCAAGTCCCTGTTCGCGTTTGATTATGCCTGCTGTCGTAGCTCGATAGGCATAGCTCATAGAGGTATCGAATGGTAGCGCCAAGAGTTAGGAAGGCCCTGGTTGGGCAGCGCTCGCTACTAGAGAAGGAAGGAGTCTCGCCGACGACGAGCCGGTAAGGCTTAGTAGCAGGGATCGTTGAAAGAGTCTCTTCAACAACGAGGTGTTAAGTCTCGGAAGAAGGAGCGTGAAATGCACCTGGTGACCTGTAAAGCGCGTAAGGCGTCGGTTTTCACCCTTTAGTGCGAAGTCACAGGAGGTGGGAGTTTTCGAAGCTGTTGATCTCAAGCAGTCTTATGATGGAATTGGTTGCGAGGAATTGGCTAGACGAAAGCCACAACTCAATCACAAAGGAAGAATCGCGCACGGGTATCGTTCTATCCTAACGCAACAGCCGAAAGCGCCGGCCTACCGCGGCAGTATTGTTCCGTATTTCCGTTGATAGTGTTATATTATTACCATTTACACGAAGTATTGAGCCTCAACTGGTGCCGCGACCGGGGATTCCATGATGTGCGATTATTTAGCAGGTTTTAAGCAACTAACTACAGGCAATATGGTCATCCATTTAGATAAAGCGCGCGGCAAAATTTCACAGATAGCTGAAAGACCGTCAAGCACCGAGTCGATCCAGGCGAGAGCGAACAAAATATAATTGAAGAAGGAAGAAAAGCGAGAACCCGGGGATGATGAGTTCGAAGGGGAAGACCAATAGAATCAAGAACAAGATGAAAGAGACGAGTACAAGGGTGGATGAGTATTTGAAGTGGACGAGTAAAGCGTGTGGTACATGCGGGGCGTGTGAGTCACGTACAAGCAATGACAGAGATACACACACAGTGGTGAAAGAATTTGTGCAAGCTAAGTAGGATAATGGCAACGACGACAAGCAGCGGATTTTAACTAAGGGGGGCTACCATTAGCTATCTGCATAACTGCAAATAAGATTTCTGGGCCCCAGGCGAACTGGATCCTTCATCTAATTGCTGAATAGATGAAGAAGAGCAAGCGCATCAAACAGTTTGACACATAAAGGCAAACAAACAAGCAAAATAGTCCGATCTAAGCCTTATGTTGAAAATGAGCTGCATCAACGTGAGCATTCGGTTTTCTAGGCGTACAATGATATCTCTTGTGCGCGATGGCATAGAATTGTAAGGCTGCGCAGGATTTCACTTGGAGAAAGAAATCTTTAACCCACAGGTTATTAATAAATAGAT